CATAACCTCCTTGGTGAACATAACAAAATTCATGTAGTGGGTGGGGCCGAGGGGTTCAGAGTGTGTGTGTGGGGGGGCTCAGGGCTGGGGCAGAGGGTTGGGATGTGGGGGGGTAAAGGCTCCATCTGGGGGTAAGGGCTCTGGGGTGGGGACGGGGATGAGGGGCTCAGAGCTGGGGTGGAGGGTGCAGTGGGGCTCCCTGGGTCTACTCTCCCCAGCTCTCTCTCCCCACAGCAGCACCTGGGCTGTGGAGGAGGGGCACCTCTCCCCTGGTCGCAGCAGGGCCAGGCTGAGCCAGGGGAGGGGCGCTTGTCCCCCTGCTGCAGCAGGTCCGGGGCTGGGCTGGGTCAGGGCTGGAGGAGGGATGCCACGGCAGGTCCAGGGCTTGGGGAGACTCATCTCTCCCCGCCGCAGCCCTGAGCACCTGCATGGTGCTTAATAGGCAGCTGTGTATCGTGCAGCTTAGAGGGAACTTAGATAGCAAGGACAGCATGGAGCTGCTCTGTCCCAGAGGGAGCACCAGCCCGTTTGGGGCTGTAGAGGCAACAGATCTTCTCCTACAACTCTCTGTAGCATGCAGCTCACTACCCTCCTTCCACCAAGCCAATTCATCTGCCTTTTGTGTGATGGGCACAGCTTTGGTGTGCCTTCTCTCTACCCTCCTTCGGGCACCCTGTGGAGGAGAGGGGGGCAGTGTCTGTGCTTTCCTGAGATCAGGGATTGCAATTCTGCCTGGCAATCTGATCAGATCACACAATGGTGAGGTGAAGGGAAAGTTATCTATGCTCTTCACACCATTGCTACCCACATAAAGACAAGGCAACATTTGGGACACAATTAGCTCTACTTGGCATTTTTGTTAGGAATCTCTTCAGAAAAGCCAAGGATGCAACAGATGTGGAGATTAAACTTTCTTACTCTCACAGAAGTTCTCTCCCAATCATGGTGGAGGGATGATGTCAGGGCATTGCAGAGAACTTCTATCCAGTCTGCGCCTCTTCTGTGGATAAACAGACGATCTTGCTCTCCAGAACCGTCTGTTTGGGCACATATCATGAGCACTGAATTGCCATCAGTTCTTTCACTCATAGGTGTCTGATCCATCAAGTGGCAGTTGAAAATTCAATTACATTTATCATACATTTTATTGTAAGAAGTACAAAAGTGTGATGAGGCTTCAAAATCTGAAAGACAGACACCCGATCTTGTAGCTTAAAAGAGCCTGAGTTAGTTGTGATTTAGCATTCTGATTAATATGATTTGTATTATTGCTGCACTCACTGGCTCCAACCTGGATTGGGGCTCCATTGCGCTAGGCACTATACTTATTTCCTCCATTTCGCTTTAATTCCCTTCCCTTTCCTGCATATATTCTTTTATTTGAAATTGACCATTTATAGGTGGCAGGACAGGTCTGCCCCAGGGTATCGCCATTATATCAAATTGAATTCTCATAAGTATTGTTCCTTAAATGCATGACTAGTTCTGAAAGCTCTAGAAACCATTCACCTGGAAGTGCCAGTACTTGGAAGCAGGATAGATTGCTGGAAAAGACTGTAGGGATCATCCTCCATTACCAGGGGGAAGAACTAGCCACTAAACCCAGCAGTTCCGTTTAGATAAAAAATTATCAGACACCTAAGCTGTGATTCCATTTCTAATCAAAGCACTTGTATACCATTGCACTGGCATGTTTTGCCATTTGTTAAGTTATTTTCACTGTTATCCCTAAGAGTATGAACTGGATACCAGAACAGTCTATATCTTATAACTGTTAACTTAACCTACATACTGGTAGTAAGAGGCTTATAAAACTCATATGGAATCTGCATAGTGTTAACCTATGAGATTTATTCTTCCCTAAGGATTCATAAACCGTATTGACAAATATATTGCATGCTGCACTTGTGACATGGTCATAATGTAAGATGGGAGGTTTGAAAGGTTTAAATAAACATCTAAATTAAATTTGTTAGTTATACTGCAACAACAGTTTTATTAGTCACTTACTACAATTTGTTTTTATTGAACATTTTCCAAAAAAATAAAGATCTGTGTCTCCTCTGTATAATACTGGATAAGAAAGCTGCTACAAATAGTAATTTGTTCTTTAGCAGCATAAACTGCCGTCTTTCATATACTGTAGTCATTAGGAGGTTGTAAACTTAAAAAAAAAAGTCAGATCAACTTCCAGCCACTAAAGTACACAGTGAATTCTCCAAAAAGATAACCTGTAAGCAGTTTATCTGGACTTCTTCTTTGCAATGCAAATTATTTGTATTTCCAATCCCATGTTGAATCTGCCACAGAATTTACATTCTTTTAGTTACTCTTCTGTTTTAAGTGGCTAAGACCATAAATCCTGTGCAGTCTCTCTTTTAGAATGTTTTTATTTATTTATTGCAATTTTCTATTATTACAGTTTCCCATACACAGATCAGCATGGAATCATTTTGATTGTTTTTACTAGCTGTCACCTCATCATGCATTTTTAACATTGCTCACTTTAAAATGGGATAATGAACAAAAATGCATTGTTGGACACAAATAGTGAAGGAAGATGAAGAGAGATAGGTTGAAACAATTAAGCCTCTTACGTGAAATCGTGGTATTGAATATTTTTTTGGAACCATAATCTTTTCATCAGATCCTATTGGGCAAATCTTTCATGTATAAATGGATTTAACTCTTTGTGCATGTTTTAAGATTTATTGCGTAACTATCACCATTTTTGAATATCGAGGAGAATAAAAATTCTTTCTTAGGCAAACAACAATAAAACATTGAGTTCACCAAAGTTCACAGAAATCTTTTTGAGGAAATAGGAAATTTAAGATGATCATAAAGTTTTACTAGAATTGCAAGATCTAAAAACTCATGTGAAAAATAGCAGCACTTATGGGCAGCTTTCTAGTGGGATACACGTTAGCATTCAAGGATTTGTATATTTTGAAAAAGCTGTTGGGTGGTATTGTTTCTATAGACATTATTACATACATCTCATTGTGATCATGATCCATATAATTCACCGAGGCAGACCAATCTTGCTCTGATGGGAGTTTTACCATTGATTTCAAAGAGAGCAAGATTGTGAATTTAAGCCAAAATTTTCAAACTTGGGTGTGTAAAGTTAGACATCTAAATACATGTGGTCTGATTTTCAGAGGTGCTGAGCACATGTAGCTCACATCAAAGTCAAAATGTAGAAATTTTGGCTTTAGTTTCTATATTACACAGAAGTAAACTTCCACATGAACTGGGTTAAAGAGATGAAGAAGAAAATGATATTTGACTAAAGGGAAAAGGCTACTTTCCCCCTATAGTATTAATTCTCCGAGGAACATGTTCAATAGACTTTTCAAAATAATTATATTTTTCTATATTTGCATAGCAAGAAAAGATTGCACAAACGGTCAAATATAATTGTAATTATTATTTATACATTTTAAGATCGATAAAGAGGGTCTGTTTTTCCCTTAATGCATACCCCTAACTCACATTTGCACTAACCAAGCATGTGCATGTATTTGGGGAAACAGAATCATGAAAGAATGATCAAGGAAATGGGAGGAAAAAATAACTATAGCTTCCCCCATGAAAAAATATAATATGGGTATCAGATTTCAAAGTAAAGCATGTGCAAATGTTTTGCACAAAAAGTACATATCAGATACACAATGTGTGTTCACAGATTAGACTTGTGTGCACTTGGATAGACAGGTGTCAAATGGCTACATGAGTGTGCAAATATCTAGTGTGCACACACCCACTGGGTATTTGAGAACATTTGGTGTAATAAAATAGGTATAAATTAATTGGTTGCACAGGTGTGCATGCCTCATTTTGACAATCTGACTCTGAATGTATGTTTCCATTTGATATAATGGCCTCTCTTATCATGCTTATGTTTGCTGAACAATATATGGCCAGACTTTCCAAAGAGCTCATTATTTATCAGCTTCCTGTTAGGCACCTACATAAAAGGCTGGATCTTCAAAGAGTTCAGGTCTTTCCAAAGAGTTTTTTGGAAAATCTGGCCCCAGTTGTCAGCACTGTACACTTTTGGAAATCTGACCTGGAATGAATAATCTTGCAAATACTTTGCCACTGGGTATAATGATTATTATTGATAGTTACTACTTGGTAAAAAATTGCAAGTTAATGGGACTTAGATTCCTTAGTGACACAGGTGCTATTGAATATGGGATGTAGGTTTCTAGTCACTAAGACACTTTTGAAAATGTTGCTCTACTGTGACTTTAGTGGACCTACTCATGGTCGTAATTTCTACATGTGACAGTAAGTATTTATATATTGGGCCCTAAGTTATCTGGTGTTCCTTGGCTATTGCCATGGGACTGTAATAAGGAATGCATCCTGCTTTTGAAAATGTCTAAAAAAAAGTATGTTTTCATGCATTAAAGCTAAAAACATTTCTCCTTCATCAGAGTCTGCTCCATTTTGGACTCATGCACCTCACAGGCACATAATATAATGGAGAAAGTGATTGAATTGTGTGATAGAGGGGATAGAAGATTTATTAAATCACAGAAGAGATTTATATTATACATTAAATGTGTATTTTGTGTTCTGGTAATAAGCAATATAACAGGTACACTATAACGGATTGACTAGTTCTTAAAATCAGAGAAGCAGTTTCATATGAGTTCTCATAATGTAGTTTTTTGTACCTGCTCCATAAACTTGCCTCTTTAACTTGTCTGGGGCTCTCATGGAATAAGCAGGCTATTTAGTGTATGTTTACAATAATTCATATTAACACATTTACTTTTGTCTTTCAGTTGAGTTTGCAAAGGAAATTGTACACACTTGAAGTTCAAGTGGCATTCACAAATTTACCATCTTAAATTTATCCTAAATAGTATTATTTATAATGAATACTAATCTGAGTCTTAATCAAATTTATTATGTTCTTATTGTTGCAACATTCTTAATCTTTATTTTGTTCTCTCTCTCTCTCTCTTTCTCTCTCTCAACAGTCCTGGTACCTGGGCTAGCTTGGTCCCTTTTCAAGTATCAAACAGGACACCAATCCTGCCGACAAATGTCCAAAATTATGGTTTGAACATAATTGGAGAGCCTTTCCTTCAAGCAGAAACAAGCAACTGAGGGAAAATGAAAAAAAAAATTTAAAGAAAAAAAGAAAGGAAGACAGGACAAAAAATGAAACTGAAGAAAGAAGAAAAATAGACCAGCAATTGCAGCATTTACAATCACTAATTCCCTTAAGGTTGAAACTGTAATGACATAAAAAGGGTCGATGATATTTCACTGATGGGTAGAATGCAGCCTCTGCTAAGTAGCCTTTGTTATATGAAGTCCACTGGGAAATAGATGTTCTGTCTCTGACAATATATTTTAACTGACTTTCTAGATGCCTTAATATTTGCATGATAAGCTAGTTTTATTGGTTTAGTATTCTTGTTGTTTACGCATGGGATCACTATTCCTAGTTATCTCACAAAACAAAGGCTAGGCGGCAGCAACAGAGCTGCAAGAGGACAAGGGCTGTGAGACAGCCATTTTCTCAACACTCTGATTTCTAAAAGTTAAAAAAAATAAACTCTGTAGCCTTTAGTTATCAGTACAGATTTATTAAACTTTGGCCCTTAACCCAGCCTTTTTTAGCGTGTTACCTAGGTTGGAATTTTCAAAGTCAGTATGAACACAGGCTCTCTGGAAAAAATGCCTCTCTGTAGGTAAAAGTGTTATCTCCTCTTGCAACAGTAAAAAATAATTTACCTTTTTACCCACTAAAGAAATACTTACAGAGGCAAGTGCAATTTAAAAATTATATCTAAAGGGGAACATCATTATAAGTCCTTCAGCCCTTGGACTCTAAATTGAGGGGATTAAAAAAAAAGAATTTAAAATTACTTTGCGCAAATTTATTTTCCCCTCAGTTTTGAGGGCATTAAATCAAGACAAATCATGTCATTGAGAGAAGAAATTAATGGAAACACAGCACTTATGTTGGTTTAGCTGCTGCCTCCATAGAGGGGTAGGATTTATTTATTTAAAGTTACTGGTTGCATCAATAACCCATAGGGTGTATGTAAAGTTCTATAAAATCTGCATCATAGAGACGAAGAAAAAGGCAAATCCATGTCACAAAGGCAAAGCTTACAGTTTACTGACTGGGAATAGCAGGGTGGGGGGTAAAATATATATAAACATGCACTCTTACAAAAAAATAAGTCTAATCACAGGGTGCTGAAAACTTGCATGGTGCTTTCAGAAATTAGCCTTGTTCAACACATTTCTCATATTGACAGAACAGTAACGTGCATGGGCAGACACATTTTGCCTCTATGTCTCTTAAAACTAATTAATTGATTAAAAATACTCTTTCCAGTAATCCTAATTTGCACGAAGTTATAATGTCCACATTACGTGCCTTGCCTTGAAATCTTAAAAAAAAAAAAAAAAAAAAAGTGACATCACTCTACTTGTTTTGCTGCATTTATTATTTTAAATCTTTACCATTTTTATGACAAAATATTTTGTACTCCAGATGGGGGGAAAAAGTGTGACATCATGGATTTTTTAGACAGTTATACCTTTATCTCACATTTATAAAGCATATCATGGCTGTGTATAGTTGCCGCTTAAAAATTGTAATCGACCAGCAATATTTTCAGTATTTTGGTGTTTTTTCTATTAACCTTTCATGTTTTTCATCTTCCAATTAATATTTGGGGGGGGGGTGTTCAAATTTATACGAATTATGCAATACCAAGTTTTGCCTATGTAGGTAGTGCTTTTAGCTGTATTGGTTATTATAGGTAAGTACACAGATTTAAAAGAGAAAAAAAAAAGAATAATGTATGCTTTTTTTTGTTTGTTTTAATTGACCAAAGTGGGTACTGCTATTTTTGCAGTGTGATGAGGTCCTTTTGTGTACTGAGAGATGGACAGGGGATTTTTTTTTATACATACATATATATATATATATATATATTCTGGGGAGGGTGGGGAGGATTTTTAACACTTTACAGTGTAGCTGTGAAGCAGTGCACCCTTAGCCAGGCAAGGGCTGCAAAGCGACTGTTCTGCCTACTGTGACAAACTTTCAAATAGGTTCCCTCTTTTTAACTTCCCACCTGGGGTGCAAGCTGAACTCATTTCTGGATTTAAAAAAAAAAAAAAGGATTCTGTTGGAGGCAGACTTGACTTGAGGAAATTGTTTTACTTTTTTATTTCGAGAGGTCAAGACCCACAGTGAGACTGAGTCTCTTTCATTTATGGCAAAGATATGGTATCCCAAAATGTACACTTTTAGAGGGTGTTTTTAGCTAGAATGACATGGAAACACACTGTCTTCTATGAGATGCACGTACTGGGCCACATTCTTTGTTGGTGTAACTCTGTTGATTTCAGTTGACTCCAAAAGAGTTATGCCAGCAGAGAATTTGGAGCACTGTATTTAAATGACTGGTGAATACTCTTTTTCCCTATGTCAAAGAGTTGGGGTCTTTTTTAGTTTAACAACACACAACATCTGAATTACAGGCACCTACATTAGCAAACAGATGCCACAGGTTTAGAATTTCTTCACATACAAAAGGTCAGATGGAAAGCTGCAGTTCTGTACTGTAACTTGAATGGAATTAGAATACAATGTAAAGAAAAGTTTATTTCAAGTAAAGTAAAATCTTACAGACTAGTGGGCCTAATGCTGCAAACCTTATGTACATAAGGACTCCATTTTACAGCTCAACTTTCCCATCAATGCACACCCTTTTATTAGGGTGCGAATGCCGGGGAGAATAGACTGCTGAGCATTGAGGCCCCTGTGGGATAACTGAGCCCATAAAGGCTGCTTCTATTCTAGCTTTGTCTTGAAATTTCCCGTTATTGATCTACCACTGGGATGCAGCTCTAACAATGGTAGCACTGCTGAGCGGTCTAGTGGCTACTAGGCGCTGGCAGTTTTACTACTGTGTCATCCAACCCTGCTCAGAGCAAGTCCAGATGACAATATAGCTAAAAACAGTGACAGCTGCCAGCACCTTGTCTCCACTAGCGCTCCCACCATCGTTGCTACCTCCGTTGGAGCTGTATCAGTGGGACATGATATGAGAAAGCTGTGTAAGCAAGGCCTAAAAGGCAACAGAGAGAGAAAGTAGAAAATAAAAAAACCTCAAGATTTATATTTAGCTAAATTAAAATAAAGAAACCAGCTTTATGTTGCTCTTTTTCTGAGCCCCATAGTAAGTGAATTTATTCACTAAGTAAGCGGCTGTTAAGACTAACTGAAACGTAGTAACAACCTTGAGGATCCCTTAGGCTGTGGCCTGATAAAATAAGCTGCGTATTGTTCTCTCAGCACATCACTTAATAATGAACAGTTATGAAACATGGTTATGTGCTGGAGAACTGTATTTGATTATCCCATTCAGTAAGATGTCCCTTTAAACTTTGACTAGCACAGCAGTATGAACCCAAGGCAAGTCCAGACAATAAAGTGCAATAATTTAAATGATGCTTATCCTTGTAGATGGTGGATGCTCTTAACTAAACTTTTCATGTATCTTTGACCTATGGTGTGAACAAATCAAGCTTACAAACACAGACTTTTTTTTTTTTTTTAAAGTTCACATTCGCTCTGTGTGAATGAATTTTCCTCTGTGGAATGTTAAGTGACTCTGTGGGTTTTTCTGCCTACCTCTTTAATAGAAAGGCCTGTTTTGAAAAAGAAACCCAAACTTCCTTTTCTTTTTCTTTTCTTTTCTTTTCTTTTCTTTTTTTTTTCTTTTCTTTCTTTTTTTTTCTAAGTTCAAGAGTCAAAAAATTAAGAAAATATTGAGGACTCAAATCCAGTCTCTAGCCTCCTCCTTCACCAGGAAGTGTATTCTGACTAAATCAAGCCACCCCGTTCTATGTGCACTGTTCTGCCTTTAGTAAGTTGCTTTGCAGCCCTAGCCTTATGGCTGTACCACTGAAGTGTGTTTCCCCTGGAGTGACATGAACGTTTGAGGCTTGACTAAGGGAAAAAAGAAAAGGCAGTGAAGGAGACTGTACATAAAGACATGGCAAAAATATTAATTATAGCAATATAGTTGTGGGGTGATGTTCAGGTGGGCAGCTCCATTGAAAATATGTGAATGAATCTGTGAAGCTGCAAGTAGCGAGAAGAACAGAGGATCTTCTT